TATTTATTTTGCATTTGTTTCTTTAATTTAATTGTTGTTCAAGTACAGTTTTCTGTCTTTTACTCCCATCCCAGCCCACACCCCCCAGTGTTCCCCACCTCCCTCCCATTTCCACTCCCTTAGTTGTTTTCCATGTGTCCTTTATACTAGTTCCTGTAAATCCTTCTCCCTTTTCCCCTGAAATTCCCTCCCCTTTTTCCTCTGGTCACTGTCCATCTGTTCTCTATTTCATTGTCTTTGATTATATTTTGCTTGCTTGTTTGTTTTATTGTTTTAGCTTCCTGTTAAAGGTGAGATGAGATTTAATTAAAAAAGGCATGGATGGACCTAAAGAACATTATGCTATGTGAAGTAAGCCAGTCAGAGGAAGACAAACACCATATGATTTCGCTCATATATGAAATCTAAGGAACAAATTGAACTAACAAGCAAAATAAAGACAGACTCACAGAGCAGGCTGACAGCTCTGGGGTGGTGGGTTAGAGGGTGCAGGGACTGAGCTAAAAGGAAAAAGAACTCCAGTGTGGTGATTGTGGGGTGAAGGAGAGCATAAGGGCAATAAATGATAATGAAAAAATATACCATAAAAAACAGTGATGTTGTCTACTAAAAAATAAATAGATAAATAAATAAAATCTTTTAAAAAAGGCAATAGAAAATCTGATGCACTTAGGTTTGTAAGATTTGGCTCTCAGATGTAACTCTAAGACACTGCACTTTTCATTTCTCTGGGCTCCACTTCCCTCAGTAGTAAAATGAGGCAAGGTCGAACTCTGTTATCTCTGAGTCTCTGTTCATTTTGAATTCTATGGTTTTGTGATTCTATATCTTCTGGAACTTAAAAGCTTATTATTTAGTATCAGCACATTTTCATTTATTATTATTCAGTATTATTCAAGATGAAAATAATTTTAATTCTATTGTGAACATAATGAACTAGGCTATGTGTTTAACTGAATAAACCAAAATAGCCCTTGGGAAATATAATGATTTCTTTCCTCTTTCCTCTTTTTTCTACTCCCTTATTCTCTCCTCCTCTACCTTCCTTCTGATTCCTCTAAAATAGCACTGTCAAAATCTTTTGGCAAACCAGGAACTTTGGGACCAGGTCATTCAGCCTCGTGATTTTCAGTCTTCAAGAGCTGTGTTTACTAGGCTTGTTATTGAAATTACCTTATTTGCACCTTACAAAAATGTCTGTCAGAGAGATACTATTATCACCATTTCTTCAATGAGGAAACTGAGAACTGTAGAAATGTTAAGACAATTGCTTGAATTTACACACCCGATTAACACAAACAGCCTGAATTAAAACTTAATCATTGTATTTATATCATGTTAATTTGCTAAAATAATGTTTTCTCTCAGATTTCTTTATTCAAATAAATTATTTATAATTAATTAATATATAGTTATATATTTTATTTAAAGACATTTAAATATTTAAAATAGGTAAGCAATATACATGATACAAAACTTCAAATGGTAAAATATGGTCATGCAGCAATGCTCAGCTCCTCTCCTACATAACCACTATTACTAGTCTCTAAATAAAGTCTAGCAAACCCTCATGTAAACATTACATGATTTTTAGAAATTTAACTTGCACAGAATTCTTCAAGTATACCTTATTTGTGAAAAATAAGAATCATCTGTCCTGTAGTCATTTTCTTTTTATATTGAGAAAAAATTATTTCTCTTTCTAAAGTTGACAACCTCATTAAGTATTCTTTTCTTAAGAAAGCCTGATCTTCTAATTTATTAATGCAAATAATAAACCAAATAATTCATTGCTAAAAATAACTTTGGAATCTATTTAAAATTCATGAGGGAAAAAAAAAAAGGAAATCTAAAATTCACTTAGCAGAACTGTTCTAAATCACATGATCCTTAGATAATTGCCTTACTCCAGCAGGTACCTCCTCTGGTTCCTAGGAATTCAACATAAAAAAGAATGTTGCAAAAAGGAAAAAGAACTCATGACATGGACAACAGTGTGGTGACTGGTGAGGGGCAGGGGATATAAGGGGACTAAATGGTAATGAAAAGATATAATAAAGATAAAATTTAAAAACCTTAAAAAACAAAAGAAAAAAAGTGTTGCAAAAACACCTCATGCATCTCAAGAGCATCACTCTTCCTTCTGGCATCTGTGAGAGATGTCGGTTTCCTAGTAGTCATAAGATGACTCTATGGTTCAGTCTCGGAGTGCTAGGGTGGACCAACAGGCCTCATGTTGTTTCTGTGGGTTGCTGGGAAAGAGATTAGGAGCAGGGCTCAACCCCAAAATGTTCTGACCTCTTTAAATCCTCTGGTTAGGTCACTGATTTATTTTTTGTGCCATTACAGCCCAATCAAATTAGAAACATTGCTGCTTAGCATTCTTCAGAGTAAAGAACAGGGGCGTGACATCCTCCCTCAGACAGTGGGGAGGACCCTTCTTACTAGTAAGGTGTGGACACTGAAGGTGCTGTCAGACTGGAGCTTTCTAATTAGCAGTGATATCAGCTAGAAGAAAGGTGGTTAGAGCCAGGCACCTAACTAGACAGGCCATACTGTACACAGTACCATTGTCTATTACATTTTTGACATATTTGACTTTATTGATGAGTATTTATGATGTTATTTGCTATTCATTTTTTAACTTTTTAGGGCTTGTATTTCTTTTCTTGAAAAAATATTTTTATGTAATAAGAACATGCAACATGAGGTTTATGCTTCTAACAGATTTTTTTTGTGTGTATGATACAGTATTGTATATAGGCAAGGTGCTGTAGAGAAGATCTATAGATTATGTATCTTATATAACCTGTTGGTTAGAAACTGTTTCCTCCTCTCCTCTAGCCCCAGCAATGACAATTCTCTTTTTACTTCTATGAATTTGAGGAATCCCCCCAAAAGGACATTTATGAAGTATTTGTCCTTCTGCATCTGGCTAATTTCTCTTGGCATAATGTCTTTTAGGTTCATCCATGTTGCCTCATATGGCAGGATCTCTTTCCTTTTAAGGCTTAATGATATTTGATTCCATGTATATAGCATACTTTCTTTATCCATTCATCTGATGATGGACATTTAGGCTGTTTTCACATTTGGTTATTGTGAGTAATGTTGCAATGAATATGCAAATACTAATATCTCTTCAAGATCCTAATTTAAATTCTTTTGGGAAAATACCCAGATGTGGGATGGCTGAGTATTATAGAATGTTTTTAATTTTGGGGGGGACTTCCATACTGTTTTCAAAAGTAGCTATATCATTTTACTTTGTATAAGCCACCAACATTGTATAAGAATTCTCTTTCTTCCACAACCTCACCAATATTTGTTTTTGTCTTTTTTGATTTTAGCTATGCTAAGAGGTATGAAGTGACATCACACTGTAGTTTTGATTTGCATTTCCATAATGATTAGTGATGTTGAGCACCTTTTCATATACTAGTTGGCAATTATATGTCTTCTTTTGAGAAATGTCATTTGAGTCCTTTGTCCATTTTAAAATTAAGGTTATTAATATTTGTTCATATTAAGTTGTATAAGTTCCTTATGTTCTTTTGGAAATTAACTCATTATAAGATATACAAAGAACTCACATTTCTTGAAAATCTACTGTGTAATTGGCATCTTGTTGAGTTTTTGCAGAAAAATTTCGAGGCAAGTTTCATTCTTATCTCTAATTTACAGCTATGTAAGCTGAATGGGGGAGGTTATGATGTATTTAATATACCACAGTGGTGCCTATTGATGTCTGTGGTGGTGCCATAGTCAACACAATCAAGTCTTCCCCAGTGGGCAGAGCGAGTGATGTTAGCTGAAGTGTTATTGTGGCTCAACAAATTATAGCAAGAAGCTATCAATGGGTTCTGTGTCAACCATATTTTATATATTTAGGTAAAAATACCCAAGAATTGAATTATAGGATAAATAGCTTTGCAGCTTCCTTTCTTGAGTGTACTAAGAAAATCACAGTAAATGTTACTTCAAAACAAAGGGCCTCATAAGGAATCAATTGAATTAACTTCTTGTAGGAGGAAGTTTCACATGATATCTAGGGAGTCTGAGTAGAAGAGCTTCTAAATGAATGCAGCCCAAACACTGAATCAGTTTTGAAGAAAATGAAAGAAGATGAGTTTGGTTTCTAGTAGACCACAAGTCACTCATGGAGATGAGGACCATAGAAACCAGGTCAGTGTGTGAACATGTAAATTTGGAGTTTAGGGAGGGCCCCAGCCTGTGTGTCTCTAAAATTTTTTTGTCATATTTTAATTTTTCAGTTACAGTTGACATACATTATTACATTAGTTTCAAGTACAGCCTGTGACTCTTATGGCCTAGAAAAATTGAGGGCTGATGCTGTCTTGTTCAAGGCCATTAATGGAGCCATGTGAAAATACACCCAGTGTGAGACTGTTAGCACCTAGGAAAACAGGATAATAAGACTGTTCAAGTCTTGTCAAGAAATGCCCAGAGACCAGTAAGACATGGTAAAGGGGAAGTTAAGTTGTAAAGAAAAAACAGTAGGTGAGGGTTAGTATATGGCCAGGCTGCATTGCAGGGTTAGCATACCCAGGTCTCTACTGTCAAAGAAAAAAAATTGTCTGCTGGACAGCTTTTGAACAGGGCTGTAAGTTGTATGTACTGGATATGTGGGAAACTGTGGGGGAGGGGAAGCATCACCTCTGACTATGGAAGAGCATCACAGTTATCAACTAATTTCTCATATTCCCTAATTGCCACATGACACTGGCATGGGGAGTGTGAGACCAGATCCCAGGTGAATCATTGTGCACTTTCCTGGTGAGAGGTGAGTATTGTACACAAGGAAGTTTCGTGATATTGATGTGAGTGAGGTCAGTCATTTTTGAGTTTGCATGCAGATGATATTTTGGTTGGGAAATCAGCACATCACTGCAGTCCTGGGATGCTTCCCTGTGTGGGGATACCTTATAAAAGGACTCTCTACCACACTGATGCCATATTCTTCATACTCAGTTGTAGATCTTCTTTGGAGCCTCTGGTGAGTACAAATATTAGAGGTCTTTCTTGGCACTTGGATAGTGTGAAGATTTAACCTGGGGGGGGGGCAGAAGTGACTATTTAACCAATTAATGCTCATGTATAGGGAAAAGAAGATAGTGAGGTTGGGGGGCGGTAAATTTTAACTGGTATTTGCTGAGTGATCTTGAAGATGATAAGAGAAATGGAGTCAGAGGTTCAGTCTTTGACTGAAGGAGAGTAAGAGAGATGAGATGCTGTCCTGTCACCTGCTCCACATTATTTTCAAATTCATCCTTTTCCAAGTTCAATCTGCTTGAGCGATAGGTCTGATCTTTTGCAGTACCAGGGTCAGGGCAGCAACTAGGGCCTCATGGGAGATATGGGTAGAGATTTTTGGGGGGATTGGCTAGAATTTTAATAACTGTGTCTTTCTCCAGATAATGATTGTATTCACACAGCACCTGCATAGAAATTTTATCTTTAGAAAGTGATAGAGTGAGAAATTAGAAAGCATTGAAAAGCTGAGGGCAAGAGTTGCTAAAGAAAGAGTGAAGAAGCTACACAAAGTCATAAAGACTGCATTAGGGATCAAAGACTGTCTTTGGAGACTGAAGGGGTTGATGGCTTAGCTAATTGTTCTACCAACGGGACTGTCTCTTCTATGAACACTGTTGTCTGTTTGTATTTCAGATTCCTCGAGAGCCAGGAAACATGTCTTACCAGCAGCAGCAGTGCAAGCAGCCCTGCCAGCCACCTCCTGTGTTGATACCTGAGCCTTGTCCCCCTCCAAAGTGTCCTGAGCCTTGTCCCCCACCAAAGTGCCCTGAGCCTTGCCCACCACCAAAGTGCCCTGAGCCTTGCCCACCACCAAAGTGCCCTGAGCCATGTCCACCTCCTTCATGCCAACCTGTGCAGTGCCCACCTCAATTATGCCAGCAGAAGTGCCCTCCTGTTCAACTGTGCCCACCCTGCCAACAGAATTGTCCACCCAAGAGCAAGTAACTGCACCAACATTCAACAGGACCATGAAACTACAAGATCCAGGATCTTCTTAGTCCCAGGACTCCATTGTCCTCCTTTCAGCCATGGTGACAGACTGCATCTTCACTAATCTCCCACCTGGATTGACTGCTGACAGATAAAAGGCTTGTCAGAAGATGAACAAAGTATCATCACCTGATACGGCTTTGCCATCTGTCTGTCTGTAATATGAGTGGTGATCGCTATCCTGTGAGCACTTTGGTGTTTCTTCTATTGCTTCTCCAATAAAGTATATGTTTCGTGGTCAACCCACAGTACTTTTGTTTGCATTTTTTAAAAATTCCTTTTGTCAGCTATACTTGATTATCGTTCCTCTTCACTCTTTTTGAATTATTAGAGTCAGGCTTTTCCATCACTGAATTTAGTTTTGCCTGAAATGTGTCTTTTGGATTGGGTACATCAAATAGTTCTCTTTTAATAGTTTTAAACTATTTTCTACCTCTTTCTAGTTTGTATGACCTTAAAAAGAATTACTTAAACTCTCTCAACTTCAGTTTGCTCATCTCTAAAAAGTAGGAAAGAGTGTGGTCAGCTGAGTGTACTCATATAAACTAATGTATTAACAAATATTGCCTAATTGTCATGTGCCAAGCAGACTTCTATGTACTCAGGATATAAAAATGGTGACCAAAGTTTTGTCCTTACGAAGCCTAAATTCTTGAAGGGATTACACATACATGCAGAACAAATGATAACAATGCACAGGTATACTCTAGAGAAAATTGTTTAGAAAGGCTATTTCAAAGTGAGTTTTTGTGCAAAAATCTGAATGAATTCAAGAGTGAACCATGAGTATATTTGATGTACATTGTTCCAATGTGGGGAGATGACCCACAGAGCAAAGTAACAGCAAAGAGAAAACTGATCAAGGGGACATTGTCTCCAAATGAGGTTAGAGAGATTGGGTCTTAAGGACAGAGTGATGATTTTAAAATTTGACAACCACATTTATTTTGCTGATGATTAGTGGTGGCCTAAAATTTTATATATATGTAATTCGCAACTATCAAATATGATTTCTTTTGTGTAGTAGTTCAATTAAAAGTATGACTACATATGGTCTTCCAAAGAGACTTTAAAAATTATTTAAAATCTAAGGACTAAATTAGAACTCTTTTGCAAAATGCAAACTTATTATGAGAGGGTGACTACATAGAAAGTAAGTCTATTAGTGTTTTAATCTTCTAGGGTCATCTACTCCATTAATTTTTCTTAAATTATACTAACAAAATACATAAGGATTTTGTTCTGCTGTCTCCTAAACCCTACAAAGAATGTTGGGGGGTGGACTTTACATTCTTGAAAAGGGCTCTGGCCTAATAGCATTGTTGACAGAGTTTTAAAATTTTGTCTTTAAGAAATACAAATTATAAAATCCCATATTTTGGGGGGGAGGGACATAATCAGTACATTTTGAAAGTTCATTAACTTTAGCTGTACAGGGTGAATAATTATAAATTGAGCACTTATGTAAGTGACCGCAAAACTCAAGAAAATCATCATTACAAACCCTTCAAAAGAGCCAGATTCCCTCATTAAATTACATTTCACTGCTTCATCACTAGAAGTAATGACAACCTTGATTCATTATAATCACTCGTTTGTTTTTCTTTATTGTTTTAACCATGAATCTAGAGGCAACTCTAAAAATTACAGTTGAGTTTCTCAGTTTTTGAACTTCACATAAACATAACTATATTGTACATCATATTTTTGTCTTTATTTTTATTCAACATTATGTACAATAGTTTTAGTAGATTCACTGTTGTATCTTTAGGATATTACTGAATGAATATATAACACTTCATTTCGTCATTCTACTCTTGGTTGACATTTAGGTTGTTTGTTATTTGGAGCTCTTTGGATCAGTGCCACGAGGACACTTCTTTATGCCTGCTAGTGCACATGCTTACACATTTCTTTAGGTACATTTCCAGAAGTACATGCATTTTTAACCTTGGTAGGTAATATCAAACTGTCTTCCAAAATGACTGTGCTAGGAGAGATCCAAGGTGGCGGAGGAGTCTGTGGAGGCTACACTAACCTCATTCCAGAGCTAATCTGGAATTCCAACTAAATTTGTAGAGAAATCATTCTGAATAATGAATGGAACACCAGCTAGAGAGAAGCCTTATAACCAAAGACAGACAGAAGAAACCACTTCACCACAATAAGACTGGTAGGGAGTGTAGAGACGATATGAGAAGGCTGGCTGGGCTCCACAGGTGACAGCTAAAGTTCTGGAGGGATATTTTAGTGGCTGGGGCGTTCCCCTGAGAAAATGTGGGGCCTAAACTCCAATATGGGCTCCCCAGCCTACAGTACCGTAGCCAGAAAGAAATCCAGATAGCAGCCAGCTGTGAATAGCAGCAGGGTTTCTTTCTGCCAAGAGGAGATGGCTGGAGACTCAGAGAGACTCCTAAGGGTCCGATGAACAAAATTTTGTTTGCAGCCACTTATCCTGGGCTCCAGCAGAGGGAGGGCTGAATGGACTAGAGACCCTTGCAGAGAGTCTGGGGTTGGTGGCTCTGGAAAGTGAACTGAAAAAACAGCTGCCATGATCCCTGTGCTGAGTCATTTCCCATATTGCAGAAGCCATGTTTCTAAGGCAGACCACTTCTCTCTGCATGGCATCAGCTTGAGGGTAAGCAATAACCCTGCCCAAAGGAGTTACTCTGCTCTACCTTGTGGAGATTAAGCCTGACAGCTGATTACAAATTAATTAGTTTAACAACTGATTGGCTTGAGTGGAGGATACAAAGAAGCAGCCAAAATGGGAAGACAAAGAAAGAGACCCAAGATGAAAGAACAAGAGAATTCTTTATAAGAACGAGGTGAAATGGGGGAAAACAATTTACAGATAGAGAATTTAGAGTAGTAATTATAAAGATACTCAACAGCATGAAAAAAGACATAGAAACCATAAAAAAGGACCAGTCAGAAATAAAGAATGCAATATCTGAAATAAATAATACACTGGAAGGAATAAACAGTAGGTTAGGTGAAGCAGAGGATCAAAGCAGTGATTTGGAAGACAAGGTAGGAAAAAACACACAGAATAGCAAAAAGAAAAAAGAATTTAAAAAAAACGAGGAGAGCTTAAGAAACATTTTGGACAACATGAAGCGTTAACAAAATCCACATAATGGGAATACCAGAAGGAGAAGAGATTGAGCAGGTGCTTGAGAATATATTTGATTAAATAACGACTGAAAACTTCCCTAATCTGGGGAAGGAAAAAGACACAGTAATCCAGGAGCTCATAGAGTTCAAAAGAAATTGGACCCAAAGAGGCCTACACTATGACACATCATAACTGAAACAACAAGGCTTAAAGACAAGGAGAAAACCCTAAAACCCACAAAAGATAAGCAGGTAGTTACCTACAAGAGAGCACCAATTAGATTGTCATTTTATTACTCAATAGAAACATTTCAGGCCAGAAGGGAGTGGTGTGAAATATTCAAGGTGATGAAAAGCAGGGATGTACAACCAAGGATACTTTAATCCAACAAGGCTAGCATTTAAAATTGAAGGAGAAATAAGGAGCTTCCCAGACAAGAAAAAACTAAAGGTGTTTGTTAACACCAAACCAGTACTGCAACAAATGTTAAAGTGTTTGCTTTAAAAAGAAGAAGAAAAATAGAACAGAAAAAAAAAACAGGAAAAAGTCTAACAATAAAACAGCACTACACACATATCTATCAATAAGCATCTTAAATGTAAATGGTTTAAATGCTCCATAGGGTAGCTGAATGGATAAGAAAACAAAACCTATATTTATATGCTGCCTCCAAGAGACTCATCTCAGATTGAAAGATACACACAACTTAAAGTAGAGGGATGGAAAAAGATATTTCATGCAAATGGAAAAGAAAAAAGGGCTGGGGTAGTTAATCTTATATCCAACGAAATCAATTTTGAAACCAAGGCAAAGGAGACAAAAAGGGCACATCTAATAATAAATGGAACAAGAAGCTCTAATGGAACAATATAACATTTTTGCACCCAACATAAGTGAACCTATGTATGTAAAGCACATCTTGATGGACATAAAGGGAGAGATCAACAGCAATACATAGCCAGGGATTTTAATACCCTATTGATGTCAATGGATAGATCTTTCAGGCAGAAAATCAACAAGAAGACAGTGGCCTTAAATGACAAACTAAATCAAATGATTTAATTGATATCTCCCAAGCATTTCATCCTAAAGCAGCAGAATATACATTTTTTTAAGTGCACATGGAACATTTTTCTAAGATAAATCAGACTTCCGCCAAGCTGGAGGCATAGGTGGAGATGCCGTGCTTTCACACACAACCAAGTTTAGAGACAACAAAATATTAGCAATAGAAAACATAGCCAGAACACAGAAAAGTGAACTTTTCGAAAGTCCGATAACAACAAATTCTTCAGCCTGACCAGTAAGAGGGGCAAAACCAGCAACTGGCGGAGCGGGATTGCACAGGAAAACTTGGTCAGACAGACTCAGGCACGCAGATCCCAGGCGTGGGGTTGGAAAGGGTCGACCCAGTGAGCGACCAGCGGATCCGGTGAGGGTAAAGGGCGGCAGGTTGACTGTGCTGGTGCATTCCTGCGCAGATAGACCAGCAGATAGACCAGCGAGGGAGTGAATAGTGAGGCGGACCGAGTGGGTCCCAGCCACAGGAGGCAGCAGAGACTGCCGCCATTTCCTGGCTCCGACCCTGCCCCCACATACAGCGTCACAACTCAGTGACCTAAGCGACCCTGCTCTGGTGAACACCTAAGGCTTCGCTCCTCACCCAGCAGCGGGAAGCAGGAGAGGGGGACGCCATTTCCCCACTCTGACCCCGCCACCACATACAGCATCACAACCCAGCAACCCCGCCCTGGAGGCCCCACCCTGCCCCTAAGGCTCCGCTCCTTATACTTAATGGGAGCGAACAGACCAAAAATGGCTCAAGAAGATCTCATGGGCCCTAGAGCCCATAAATCTAAGTGACAAAGAAATAGCAAAACTTTCAGATGCACAGTTCAAAACACTGGTGATCAGGATGCTCACAGAACTGGTTGATTTTAGTCACAAATTAGAGGAACATATGAAGGCTAAACTAATTGAAATGAATAGCAATGCACAGGGAACCAATAGTAATGGAAAGGAAACTGGAACTCAAATCAAAGGAGTGGACCAGAAGGAGGA